AGTTTTACTATGCATAACCTCATCTGCATATCATTTATATGCATATTCCCATCCACGTGACACCATGTTTAACACTATCAAATGCTGCGTTCAAGTCCTCCTGGGACGTTCGTACTTACGAGTTGACAAGTCGTAATTACAACGTCAGGTGCGTTCAAGTCAGTTTAGTCGGCACAAGATGGCGGTGTACCTTCTTTTAATAAATTACAAGAAAATACAACAGGGTCTGCATTTTTTTACTTGGATTTCAGCTGTGTAACAAGAACATGACCAATTTAAGTTTATAGGACAACTTAACTATCAATTTAAACAAAAAATTTACCGTCAACTATACGTTGCATCCATCGATTCCGCCATGTTTCTCATTGACACGCCCCCAACTCGGAAACTCGGGGCTTAAAGAAAATTTCGAGTTTCCCACTCATAATAACGACTTTGTGGTGTGTTCAACTCGTAAATACGATCTATCCGACATGACTTGAACACACAAAAGGTACAAGACATTAAAGTCTGCGTGAACAGGAAGTTGCTGCCGACTTTATTTCAGTGTAGTGACGTATTTCCAGCTGAAACGGAATATTGAATAGAGGGCATGGTTTAATTTTTACGCTCCTCCTCTCTGTTTCTCAACCTTGGAGGGGTGTGTTTAAGGATATTCTGCCCAAGCCGTCAAACTGACGTCATCAGAAAAGGAATGCCATTCCAGAGCAGAAGCAAATTTCAGATTTTGATTAAAGATCACGAAAACAAACAATTTTTTTCAGCGGATTAACTTGCATGGATTAATTGTTCACATCAAGACTAGCAATGTGCGCTAGTAAATTAAATAAAGTCAATTTTGATTTCATGCCGACTTTAAGGAAATATAAGATACGGACTATAAATGCCATTTGTGCCACACATACATTTTTATTGCTAAAAATCATATTTTCCGCCATAATATCGAAGTAAGTGCGCATCATTGATCATTGTTCTCACTAAAAATATTTTCTCATAACATGAGATGTGCAGTTTGTCTTTAAAGATCAATTATTGTGCACCTATAGCCAGGAGCGGACTTACCCATTAGGCAAAGGTAGGCGACCGCCTTGGGCCCCCAAAAGCCAAGGGCCCCCTAAAATGCTTTTCATATAGAATATGCGCATTAAGTGTGGACACGTGAACGTTTGCTGTTTATGGTGTTTATTACCACGACAACTGTCCGAGTCAGTGGCGTCTGCAGGTGTACGGCACTGTGAGTACCATGAGCGCTCAGACTGATCTGAGATTTCCCCCGCAAACATTTCAGCAGCTATTATAGGCCTGTGTGTCCCGTATTTCTGTCGACTGAACCCATGCTGTTAATTATGAATTTATCAGTCGTTTGCATGCCAAAGTCAATTTCTGCATAGAAATATTATGCCAAATACAATCAGAAAACCGTGCTATACGCACTTTCATGAGATCGGGTTAGCCTACAACAATTAATTTGTTGGCTATTTTACAAATGGGAATACAACAAATTCATGACAATGTTTACATTCAGGCTACCCATAAAATTTATAGTGAAAAGTAGTTTAAAAGCGTCTGGAATGCAATAAAGTCATTTTAAAGCTGTTTTTTAAAAGCATTTGCAGCATGGATAAAAAAAATATAAATAATTAACATATCATACAAAATTGCGTTGCAGCAAATCCTTCACATTTTAAGGTATTCAGAACAGAGCAACATAAAAAGCAGAAAAAGCAGCTATACAATTATAGGACAAAGTTTTACATATATGCCATTATAATTAGTGTTTTATTTTTTAACTGTACGGAATTATAAAATAAAACGCAAATTATAATCGGGCCTTCCATCAATTATAGTGATGAAAAAAATGACTCGCCATCTCCTAATTGGATGTGCCTTTAGAGAGAAATGCACAGATTACATAATGAAAGAGTTTATTTTATTAGGAGTCTATTTTCGATTTGAATTATTTCTTTTTAAAGTAGTAATTTAAAGCTTTCTATATATTTTGATCATGTCTGAGTTTAGGTTCATCATTGTGAAGCGCTCCTGTTCAAGACCGAGACGGCAGAAAGCGTTTGTTTTTTTATTTTATAAAAGCACAACGTTTTATTGATATTGTGAGTGTACACAAATAGAACTAGACCCTTTACAGTTTAGAATAATGTATTACTCTTACCTTTATGAGCTAAAATGACTGCGTATTTTAAGTTGTTTCCACTGTTAGAAAAAAAATGCAAGCGATCGCGCTGGCGCTGGCGCCTCCGTGTCCTGCAGAGCGCGCTTCAGCTTCCACTGTCCGCAAAAGATTGGATATGCACATTTATATAGGTTAAACATTTAAATTTATACTTGAACTGTTTTATATATAGATTGTATTTTAGGCAAGTCCTGATGATTTGAGAAGGCTAAATTGATCAAACATAGGCTATAGGCTATGATCAATTCACTGTCTGCCGCTGACCTTTACTTAAATGTTTTTTACTAATCCAAATGTTTTTCTAAATTTACTTTATAAAAAAATCGAAAATAAATATATTCACTTTTCCATTACATACAAAACTGAACTATTTTAATAGCTGAAACAGTAGAATAAGCTGTTTTTGGGAAAAGGGGAAAAAAGACGGGCTAGGGCCTATATTTGAGGCCCGTGCAGGGCTCTTATCCACTTCATCCAACGCTGTTTTGTTCTCATCTGTGTTGCATCTCATCGCATGCTCTTGATATGTATTTTAGGTGTGTAAATGTATAATTGCCTTTTCATTATTTTTTCAGTTTTATTTAAATTTGTAGTTAAAACAACTAAAAATAAATGTATTTTAAAGTTTAGAATTAGACAGCCTAATGCTTCCGCTTACGCAGGCTTACGCTGAAAACAACAAAATGGAACCTCAAGGTTGATCTAGGAAAATGTGTGCAAATGTATAGGGCCCCATTCCTATATTTTGCCTGGGGCCCCCAATTCACTAAATCCGCCCCTGCCTATAGCACTCCTCGCTGTCATTAAAACATAACATACCACAGGAAAAGTAATCAAGCGTATCCACATATCCACTACAAATAGGCTGTCTAAATTCATATAAATTTGGTTTAACTTCTGAGTAATGACTTCATGTAATTTCAGTGCTTATCTCCATTAATGAAAGGGAAATGTTTAATGTAAATGTATATGATGAAATGAAAACAGTTTTATAATCGTTGTTTACTTCATTACTTTTCTCTCTCCAGGAAAAACAAGTCCGTATGCATGGATCAGAGTTTGCGAGCAGGTGCTCAAATTTTCCCGTCAAGTTTGTTTTTTATAAATCCCACCTTTTGCGTAAGAAGTGGCGTAACTTACGCCTCTTTCAGGGCAGGTTTTGTGCGTACGCAACGGTTAAAATTGAGGCCCCTGATCATTTGAACGTAAATGCAACAACAGTGCGATGCACTGCAATTTCTCATACCACATTTTGCATACAGTGGCATGTCATGAGCAGCACGAGCCGAGGCAAGCTGGCCATTGACGTCATTAATATGGAAGCAGACGAATCATTATGTGAGCCGACTCAATCTTAATGATTCGACCGAACCGATTCGCAAAGCTTTCGGTTGTAAGGTGGATGTCATGCTGAAACATAAAAAAGAAACTTAGAAGTTGGAACCATTTTTTTTTCGAACAGGAATGCCAGTATGTAGAGGAAAAGTAGGTATAATTAGGCTAATCATGACAGAATCCAAATACAAAACAAATGTACACAAAATCCAGTTTATACAACTAAAACAACTCATGTTTCAGAATTTATATTGAAAATATACTTATTTAACTTTTTTTTTTTTAAACGTTCGTAAATGATGCGTGCGAACGTCTAGGAACACTTGAGTGACATCTCAAATGATTCTGTGAACCGGTTCGGTGAATGAACCGTCCGAAGGAATCGATGCTTTAAAAAAGAACCGGACTTAACATAAATAATGGGGTGTCCGTGGCTGAACTCATTCACCGAGCAATATCACACTATAAAACATGCCGTACCCATGCTGCCGAAATGGACCAATGTCCACCATTAGCACTGCAAACTCAAGTCACAACATACCTCCTCACTAGGTGAAGACGGACATTTCTTCTTAAGTCGACTGCGGTTGACTAAATTCCCCGTGTGAAGCTTCAGGGTTGTCGCGTGATTAAAAAGCCGCTTTGCGTTTACATGAGGCTCCATTGCTCCGTAAAAATCGGTGACTGGAAACAAGTGTTGTCTATGTAACTATTAACCGTAGAATGCCCTCGGGTACGATGTTACCTTCTCTCTCGAGTGCACTAAACAGTGTAGTATGACTTTGCACTTGTAGTTCATTCAAATAGAGAGGAGGTTAGAGCAGAGAGTTTCACGCCCACAATAAGAATATGGATGAGTTGCGCTGGAAAACCTGGCGAGGATCAGCCCGACGTGGATCGGACGAGTGATTCAAAGGTCACGGTCAATCTTTCTGAGGCCCCCTATTGTCCAACACAATATTCAAAGGACCCCATGTAAACAGAGACATTTCCTCTGCCTCTTCTTAAGAATGATAACAAAGCTACTGGCTTTCAAGCTTTTTTATTTATAGAAACAAGAAGCGAATCAAAAGAATCCTAATAGTACCTTAAGTATCTGTTCACTTCTGCATGTTCAACAATGAAAACAATCCACGAAGGGACAAACTAAAATAAGAAATATTGAAGTTTTTAGCCTTTTTGATAAGTTATATAGCCTACTATTAAAATAACTTAAAAATATATAATTATGTAAGTCATTTACAGCCTGGTGAGGCCCCACCCCTGGGTGGGAACGATTACGAGGCCTCTTACCTATTATGCTTGGTCATTATGACACAGCATGCATTATTACAGTATATATATTTTATTATTACCACTGTGACAGTGAACCGTTTATAATAAACTTTAAAAATTAAAGGTTAGCCTAATTCAAAACCTGACTCTTTTTCAAATAAAAATCAACTCATCAAAATAACAGCAAAGATGTGCCATTCATAATTGTTATTTATTAAGCGGGGAAAAAAGACATTTACAGTAAATAAAATGAGAGCATGTAAGTGCAGACAACCAGATGTGTTTTTCATCAGTACTGGCGAGTTTCTTACAAAAAAAAGTGCCATTCAGAACTTTATAGTACATTCACGCAAAATACCCCCAGAGAAAAACACTGGCAGTGAGTAAAATGAGGGCATTAACATTGCAGACAATCTTCCAGGTGTGGTCTTCTTCAATACTGGTGAGTTTCCTTTCCAGAGCCTGCCGTTCCTCCTCACTCATCTCTTGTTTAGCCGCATGGGAGAGACCACACAGCCACATTCCAGCACGCTTCCACCATGCAGGCGTATCCTCATCTGACCCCTCTGACTCTGTAGTGCTGGGATCAGATCCTCTAGCCCAGGGGTCTTCCAGCTCTACACGCTCCTCCTTACTGTGTCTTGTCCACCAGGTCAAACGAATGAGCTTAAATGAAATATAAGCTCATTATATTAGCAGCTCATATTCAGTGTGTTTCTCCTACAATAGCATTGGAAATATTGTTTTGTGCTTATAAATATACTTTATTTTGATAGTCTAATTTAGACCTTCAACTAACTATAACTTTGTAACTACATGTTAACTACCAGTCATTAGAGTATTAGTATTAGACCATCTGCTTAATATCTGATTATATCTTTATTTTGATGGCCCCCAACAGACATTCTACTGACTATAAGTAACTTAGGAAGTACAGTATATATCAGTTTATTATACTAACCATTCAGTTAGTTTACATAAAGTAGCAAATTAATTAAGAGTTAGTAGCAAAGTTACTAGTTGATAGAATGTCTAAAGTGGACTATTGAAATAAAGTAGAACCAATACATTAATAAATAATACATTATGCATGCTTTCTTTGCTGTTTTTAATGCCAAAAAAAAAAATTTTTTAATACAAATTTAAAAAAGTATTATCTTTATAAATACATTTTCAAAATTAAGGTAGTCAGTGTACATGTTGTTTTGGTACTGTGGGAAGTTAAAGGGTTAGTTCACCCAAAAATGAAAATTAGGCTGTGTTTTACTCACCCCCCGAGGCTTCCTAGGTGTATATGACTTTCTTCTTTCAGACGAAAAAAGTCCTCCTGTAGCAAATCGATGTGTTTTTGTAAGAAAAATAACCATATTTAAAACGTAATAATCAATTTAATCTAGCTTGCGCTCACTGTTGTACACGGAAGCAGCTCCGGGCGGATGATGTATGAGGTCGGTGTTGCGCATGCGCCGCTCAGAAGTGCAGAACATGGCAATGCAGAGGAGAGATCAAAACAAAGCAATGGTCACGAATTAGAAGTACAAAACGAGAATTTGTAAAGAAGAATGTCGGAGGATTTCGATATAAGCCAAGAGGAGACTGGTTTTCCTTTGCTAAAGTAAGGAAACTTTGCTTCCTTTGCTCCTTTAAACAAACGTTGATTTTCATGAGACTCACCGGCACATGCGCAACGCCGACATTTTACGTCATCCGCCCAGAGCTGCTTCCGTGTACAACTGTTGGCGCAAGCTAGATTAAAGTGATTATTACATTTTGAATATGGATATTTTTCTTACAAAAACACATCGATTCGCTACAGGAGTCCTTTGTTCACCCCCCGGAGCCGTGTGAGACACTTTTTTTTATGGATGGGCGCTTTTTATTTAACTTATTTTGGACTGAAGCACTGCAAAACCAGCTGACTGCAATGATAAAGCTTGGAATAGCCAGGACAATTTTTTATATAAATTCGACTGGATTCGTCTGAAAAAAGAAAGTCATATACACCTAGGATGCCTCGGGAGTGAGTAAAACTTAATTTTAATTTTTTTTAAAATTCATTTTTGGGTGAACTAACCCTTTAAAGCTTATTTTTGTGAAGATTTATAGGGGAAGAAATGGTTCATAAATGAAATAAATTTAAATTATCATCATTCAAATTAAACTAAAAAAATCGTTTGATTAGTATGTGATATGTAATTTTTTTTACATTTCAAAATTAAGTGTAGTACATGGAAAGTCCCCAGGTAATTGGGTATGCAGCATTTATCTCCTTTTTGTAAGTTTTGTATAAAAATGGACATAATTCTTTAAATGTGTATGTATTTAAATTGCGATTCATAGTTACATGTTGCTCTGCAATTGGGGCAGTGCAGAGGCTGACAGCAGTGATGATCAGAGCTGTCAGTGCAAGCAGGATGAGAGCAAAATACAGGTAGTGCACATCTTTCAGCAGGGCAGGACGCAGGTCTTCTTCTCCACATGATGGGGTGCTGTACACAAATTCCATTACCATCCTCACAGTGCCCACCACTAGTCCCACCATCAGACCCCAAAAAGCACCCTGTGCAAGATAAAAAGAAAACTTAACTTAAATGTTTTACCAACTGCATCAAGTGTTATAGGCCATTTAACTTTCACTTTATTGCACAGGCACAAGAAAAGGTTAATTAATTCACCTGCTCATTTACTCGCCCCCAGAAGATGGCCATAATGAACACTGTGGTGATGGGAGGTGCCAGGTAGCTAGTAATGGCCTGAATGTAGTCAAACAGTTGTCCACTATTGGCTGTTTGAATGATTGGAATCCATACAATGCTCAGGGCCACTAGCAATAAAATGAACAGCCTGTGGATGTAAATAAACAGCAGCAATTAAGAGCCAGGAGACTCAGATTGTTTCGTGAAATAAAAAGTGTATATTTTGGAAAAGGACAACTGTTTTTAATTTTAATTTGACAGTTTGCATATCAAGTATCTTTTAGCGCCCCAAAACAGGTCAACAAAACCACTCTGATGTGGTTAAACCACTTGGTGGAATTGGTGGTGGACTGTTTCCACTTTCGTTGAATTGGTTTGTATGCTTATAATGAGAGCATTCACTTTTTTAGATACTTCTGTTTATTTTCTGAAAAATATGTTCAAAATGAAAGTGTTCTGAAGTTTTTCCACAAAGCATTTAACAGACTACCTGCCCACTACCATGAGCTCTCTCTCAGAGGCCCGTGGTCGGATCCGTTGCCATATGTCCATGGTGAACAGAGTGCTGCTACTGTTGAATATAGAGGTGAGAGAGGACATGAGTGCTGCCATCATTACAGCAATCATCAGACCTCTCAACCCTACAACACAATTACAGGGAAAGAAAAACGTGTATTAGCATAAGAACAAGAGGAATATCATTGTTGCTCTGTAATCTCTGTTGTAGCAGTGAACCATATATATACAGAATTCTCAATTTCAATGAGGCACTTAAAAAGTACTTTGAAATATGTTTTCCCTTTATGATTTTCAAACTGCCACTCTACTTATCAAAATTGTATTTGAAGGTAAAAGATCTGTGTAGAAAACAAGCTTAAAATTTAAATTTTGGCAAAAGTAACACGAACATGTCACTTAAAAATAAGGAAAGTTAACTATAGAGATATAACAAAATATTTAAATTATAATATCTATTATAATTTATCACAGACATATATTATAATTTAAATATTTTATTATGTATATCTATATATTACATTATATAGATATATATTATCATTTAAATATTTTATTATAATATAATTTTTATACTATTAATGCTATTTAGAATAATTGTTAGTTTGTTAAAACATTTTTTAAAGCATTTTCTTGTCATTAAAATGATCCTAGGTAGTGCACATCTTTCAGCAGGGCAGGACGCAGGTCTTCTTCTCCACATGATGGGGTGCTGTACACAAATTCCATTACCATCCTCACAGTGCCCACCACTAGTCCCACCATCAGACCCCAAAAAGCACCCTGTGCAAGATAAAAAGAAAACTTAACTTAAATGTTTTACCAACTGCATCAAGTGTTATAGGCCATTTAACTTTCACTTTATTGCACAGGCACAAGAAAAGGTTAATTAATTCACCTGCTCATTTACTCGCCCCCAGAAGATGGCCATAATGAACACTGTGGTGATGGGAGGTGCCAGGTAGCTAGTAATGGCCTGAATGTAGTCAAACAGTTGTCCACTATTGGCTGTTTGAATGATTGGAATCCATACAATGCTCAGGGCCACTAGCAATAAAATGAACAGCCTGTGGATGTAAATAAACAGCAGCAATTAAGAGCCAGGAGACTCAGATTGTTTCGTGAAATAAAAAGTGTATATTTTGGAAAAGGACAACTGTTTTTAATTTTAATTTGACAGTTTGCATATCAAGTATCTTTTAGCGCCCCAAAACAGGTCAACAAAACCACTCTGATGTGGTTAAACCACTTGGTGGAATTGGTGGTGGACTGTTTCCACTTTCGTTGAATTGGTTTGTATGCTTATAATGAGAGCATTCACTTTTTTAGATACTTCTGTTTATTTTCTGAAAAATATGTTCAAAATGAAAGTGTTCTGAAGTTTTTCCACAAAGCATTTAACAGACTACCTGCCCACTACCATGAGCTCTCTCTCAGAGGCCCGTGGTCGGATCCGTTGCCATATGTCCATGGTGAACAGAGTGCTGCTACTGTTGAATATAGAGGTGAGAGAGGACATGAGTGCTGCCATCATTACAGCAATCATCAGACCTCTCAACCCTACAACACAATTACAGGGAAAGAAAAACGTGTATTAGCATAAGAACAAGAGGAATATCATTGTTGCTCTGTAATCTCTGTTGTAGCAGTGAACCATATATATACAGAATTCTCAATTTCAATGAGGCACTTAAAAAGTACTTTGAAATATGTTTTCCCTTTATGATTTTCAAACTGCCACTCTACTTATCAAAATTGTATTTGAAGGTAAAAGATCTGTGTAGAAAACAAGCTTAAAATTTAAATTTTGGCAAAAGTAACACGAACATGTCACTTAAAAATAAGGAAAGTTAACTATAGAGATATAACAAAATATTTAAATTATAATATCTATTATAATTTATCACAGACATATATTATAATTTAAATATTTTATTATGTATATCTATATATTACATTATATAGATATATATTATCATTTAAATATTTTATTATAATATAATTTTTATACTATTAATGCTATTTAGAATAATTGTTAGTTTGTTAAAACATTTTTTAAAGCATTTTCTTGTCATTAAAATGATCCTAGTGGACGGAAAATATCAACTAATTGAAAAATCACACAATTATTCTGATAAAAACATAAGGTTGTCATACCCACTGGCATGAGCTCCATAACTAACTTTGGGTAGGCAATGTTAGAGCAGCCCACACTGGCCCCACAGATCTTCATACACTCCTCAGGATCCACACATCCTACTTCATCTAGAGAAATGCACAAACATCACACTACTTACCATAAAAAGAGAGATTTTTAATTTATGCAAATGCTTTGTCGAATGCTGACAGGGGAGATTCAATTGAAATGAATCACTGTACTTAAACCTTTTCATTGGTTTAATCAATGTTCAGGTAACATCTTTCTTAAATCCAGACCATAGATTAAGGGAAATGCAAAGAATGACTGAGTAGTACTTGGGTAGAGAGCTCTGCTGATCATTCCTGGCATAACTATGAAGAACATAGGGAAGACCTTGAGGTAGCCACCGAGTACCGAACCACCTTTGGCATGAGACAGGTTTTTGGCAGAGAGAGACCTTTGCACTATCACCTTTAGACATGAAACAGATGCAATTGCTTGCTGTAAAACTATTTTCTTCTGCCGAATATTAAATCATGCTAAAATCTACAGTATTTTAAATTCACCTGGTCTGTGCACCACACCCATGTGGCCAGAACAGTGAGTCCAAAAATCAGGCCTGGCCAAGGAAGGTCTCCTGTCACTGGATCTCTGAAGATATGAAAGGCATCAGACCGAGGAAGATGACAAGTGGTGTTGGGAACCGTGATAGCAGGTACAGCTCTCTCATACTGAACCAGCAAACCCTCATACCAGCCAACTTTGTCGAATGCTGACAGGGGAGATTCAATTGAAATGAATCACTGTACTTACCTTGGAATAATTAATGAAAGTATAACATTTCATCAGCGAGAGATCTATACCTATGAACATGAGGACAAATGCTCCTATTACCATGATGACGGTCTGTAAGGCATCAGTGTAGATTACTGCTGTCAGCCCACCTGCATTAAAACAAGCCACCAATTAAAGCACCTCAACTAGAATCACATTTAGGCACAAGTTATCTAAAATGTAAGTCACTTATGTGTTGTTTTATTACCAGCTATAGTGTAGAGTGCAGTGACAGCTAACAGCACAACGGTGGAGACGTACAGGTCCCACCCCAGAGACACCTCGATGAATAAAGCCCCTGAAAAAATGTCTGTCTGGACAGAACACCGTTATGATTAACTTATTACACATGTATTACACTTTATTACAACTATGCTAAATTGCTATTTGTTGTTTACTGTTATAGTACACTTCATAGCATACTGTATTGTTGTATGCTATGGTTTAGCATATATATATATATATATATATAAGCACCTGTGGGTGACAACAGCCGGAAGACACCTGTTCAAAACAATAAAAGGACATTACAAATGTAAACATTTCTGAGCATCACTGATGATGTTTATGCTAGCTGCAGTATAACCGAAAAATAATGCACTCACTGTAGCTTCAGCACCTCAATCATTTAGTGCAAAGTCAGATCATTTGTCATTAAGGAAATAGTTAAGAAACCAAAATCCTTCCATGAGCAGGTCTTATAAATTTATGAATTAATATGTTAAAGGGGTAAAATTAGTCACTCTGGCTTTAAAACTAACACACAACTTTAAAAACGAAAATACATTGACTACCACACTATATCAGCGATGAGAGAACTCAATGTGCTATCGGTTCACAACTTACCTAAATATACTCTTGCAAGGCCGGCCAAATGTATTTAAAGCCATGACCATAAAATCTGCAACACTGGAAACGGCTACGTAGTAAATATATTCATAAGTGTAAGAAGATAATAGCAGAACACTTCAGAATGCTGAAGGTCACATCAACAAACGGCATGGAGGTGTAGCAACATAGAATGCTCCCCCTGGAAACTTGTGCTGCAACTTCCAATAGTTCCGCTGTCTGTTCTGTTTGATTTTTGTTTTGTGAAGAAAAAGCGGCTGTTGTTTTTTTCTCTAAATAAAATATATTTATGCAAACCAGCTGCTTACCATTTTAATAATCAAACGACGATTTAGCATGCAATATTTTACCACTGATGATGTTTATGCTAGCTGCAGTATAACCGAAAAATAATGCAATCACTGTAGCTTCAGCACCTCATTAAGGAAATAGTTAAGAAACCAAAATCATTCCATGAGCAGGTCTTATAAATTTTGAATGGGAACAAAAAATATGTTAAAGGGGTAAAATGAGTCACTCTGGATTCGTTTAAAACTAACACACAACTTTAAAAAAAGAAAGTACATTGACTACCACACTATATCAGCGATGAGAGAACTCAATGTGCTATCTGTTCACTACTTACCTAAATATACTCTTGCAAGGCCGGCCAAATGTATTTAAAGCCATGACCATAAAATCTGCAACACTGGAAACGGCTACGTAGTAAATATATTCATAAGTGTAAGAAGATAATAGCGGAACACTTCAGAATGCTGAAGGTCACATCAACAAACGGCATGGAGGTGTAGCAGCATAAAATGCTCCCCCTGGAAACTTGTGCTGCAACTTCCAATAGTTCCGCTGTCTGTTCTGTTTGATTTTTGTTTTGTGAAGAAAAAGCGGCTGTTGTTTTTTTCTCTAAATAAAATATATTTATGCAAACCAGCTGCTTACCATTTTAATAATCAAACGACGATTTAGCATGCAATATTTTATTTAAAAATACAGTGTGAAATTCTGATCATATGTTCAGCTCGTCATAAAAATATACAAAATACACAATATACGATATAAAAAGGTACAATTCACAACAGTAAAAATTTAAAATCAGTCTTTTTTCTTAATTAAAACAGTTTTGTCTGCAAATAAAAGTTTAAATTATTTTATTTTACATAGAGCAGCCTCATGGGGGAAGGCTTGTTGTGATCACATCCTCAGTCGAAAACCTTTTTTCTCTGCCCTGTTATTGGACACCATCAGCCACAGAATAAATTTTAGATTATGAACAGATTTTAACTCTCTAAACTTGTTTGTCCAATGAGGTAGTGGAAGTGGGAGCCACTGTCTTCTTATAATGTGCTGCCAGTCTGTCTGCCTCCCTGTGTCCCGAGAGTAGAGCTCCTTGCACTGTGCCATAAAGAGTCTTCATCGTTGCCTCACCTGCAAACAGGATCTGAAGATCCTGAAACATATGGAGTAAAAAAATCACTTTAATATTTCAATGACAAAGAAAAGCAAATAAAAGGAGGGCCTTACCCCAACCGTCTTTTAAACATAATATTCTTTATCAACACCTTCTGCTTGATAGCCCATAAACCAAAACGAATATTCCATTATTATGTTAAATTCAAAATAATGGTATACACAAAAAGAAACAGAAAAATCACATACTTGGTCAGGATGCCGGCTGCCCACTAGTGGTTGGGCCAATGTGTCCATAACTTGGCCATCAACACCAACAGGAAGGAAAGCGTAGCTTCCTTTTATGAACTTGTTGCTGCGCCACTTAGTGCAGAGTATAGATTTCGGCTGAGGAATGTTTGAACGTCCTTGGGAGTATAGAAAATATCAAAAATACATGATACTTGTAAAAAACAACTTTTCACCAACACATTTTTTACAACTTGTAAAAACCTTAATGTGCTTAACTGGCACATTAGCAAACACTCATAATTAATAAAAGAGGATTCTTTACCAAAGAACATTTTGAGATGATCAGTGATCGCAGTTGAGAGCTCACCATCTGTCATGGTTTCAACCAGGTCAGCTATGTCTGCTGGACACCAACCAATTAAGATATGGCCAAACCTAGAAAAGAGAGAATAATGTTACTACAGCTTTTTGCACCATAAACAATCATAATAATAATGTTAGTACTACTACTACTACTACTACTAATTATTATTATCATTATTATTTAGAATCTTTGAAGCATGGGTTTTGGCTGATTTTCCTACATTTTCCTATTAATTATAGTCAGTGGTGTTTAAGAGTAATTGTATATATCCAGATTTCTCATACAGCATCTATACATGCAAATGTAAAATAATAAATTTAACATATTTAAAATGACTGAAAATTTCACTGTCATTTGATACAACATTAACCTTTCTTTGGGTCTCGGGACAGAAAAGGACTGCACGTACTTGAGCCACTGCATTTTATTGGTGGATACTGAGGCAGGGGTGTCATCCTCATAAATGAGGCTGATAGAACCAACATCATTTTCCCAGAATGCCTCTTCGTACTCCAGAAAGATCTTGGCAATATTGCCAAAGCACAGCTTGTCGATGACCTCCATTTTTTAGGTTGGGAGACTGGGGATGAATAGGCTGGATGCTTGTGCTTTTAGACACCCTTCAAAACATACACACATTCAGACAAAGCTCTCAATTTGCAAAGACAAAATGTATCTCTTACATATATAAATGCGCTCACTTCAGACAGCATCATCCACATAATACTCAGTCCTTATCAACACATACCTAATGAAATGGTCACAATTACATGATCAGCTAGAATCTCTTCTCCATTCTCACAGATAACGCAAACTGGGTACTGGCGGGCTTTTTCTTGAGAAGCAGATTCAGTGTGAGTAGGCAGAGGTTCATTATGAGGAGGGGCAACAGAAAAGGATCCATCCCATTTGATCTTACTAACTTCTCTTTTCAGCAGCAAACGATCTTAAGGAAAGTCCTCCAACAGCATATCCACAAGCTGAAACATTGAACTGACATCCATACACACAAATGAATCATTTAGTGAGCAATAATTGCAAATGAATGTAGATCATCTTCTCAACCCATCATACCCTGCAACATTGAGACTGTCACCCATGTTGATATAATACTGCCAGGAGTCAAGAGAGATCCTGTGGAGGTCTGAAGCTCCAACATCAATCAGCATGTCTTTTGCGACCAAAGCAAAAACACTCTGCATTCTTGGTTTCTGGTCATCGTCTTGCAAGCTGTCAATCACACTCTGGGTTTTTTTCTGCATAGTGTTCACCTAAACTCCTTCCCGTGTTGGAACCACGGTATCGAATGATTTCCTCTCCAGCTTCATATGCACATCTGGCGAAGTTTGCATCTAATTTGTGTCCCTTGTTACTGTAAAATGTTTCTTTGCCCATCTCAGGGATCTGGTTGAGATGGCCAGACTTTTTTAGTAGACAGTAGACAGGGTTTTTTTTCTGACGCCCCATGGATGTACTGCACTCCGGTATCAACACATACATTACCTTTGACACAAAAAGAGAAAGACAGTGACATATGTACTGTTAAATATTAATACAGCATAGAATAGTGCATTACAGTGTCAGAAATTAACCAGGGTTTGTGAGAAAATGTTACAGAATTTGACAGAAATGCCCTAGGTATTTAAAATATGCACAAAAACATATATATTTTATTTCAAAGCCCCGGATTTCCCATTTTATTCTAGGCCTATCCAGTGATGGGTTTTAGGCACTGTATTGATATTTGATTGAATTTATTCAATTTCATGAGTTTTTGGCATAAAATGTGTTAATAAACTTAAAAATAAAAATAAATGCCATTAAAGGTCAGTTCATTGACATTGTCTCTTCATAAATCAGATTTAAAATCACGTTATACAATCTGTTGACATAGCAAAAAAAATATTGTGCACTATTTAATGGAAGTGAAACTAAGTCATGGGTTCATAGATTTCAGCCTCCTCTAACACACAATCATGCATTTATTTGTTTGTTAAAACAATGATCATATAATAAACATTATGAATAATAAATATATTTATCAAAATGAACAAAGCTTTAAAATTATAGTAATCATTTCATTTAATAATACTTTATTATTAATAGCGATTCATTTAATTAGTTATTATACAATTGTAGAATTTGTAATCTTGAAAAACATTTTCTATATATTAACTTTTACTATAATTCAATTCGTGTAAGCTATCGGAGGTATTATAATGCAGGCTGTTCACCTAGAGTTGCAGTAGCTACTCTTCCTCCAAACTTCTCGGACGCTTCCAGCACCGTGACATTATTAAATCCATATTCTTCCAGTTTCTTGGCTGCAGCGAGTCCTGCCACTCCAGCACCAACCACCACAATAGATGGATTCCTGTCTGCCATGTCTATAAAGGATTGAAAAAGTGATTATGATAACTGCAACTTTTCTAGTGAAAACAAAATGCATTACAGTAATATCTATATCTTACACATATTTAGACAGTACAGTTGCTGACATTAATATGAAAGGCTTTTATTGCTCTTGTTGCATTAATTTACAGTTTTACCTAATATTTTATAACTAAA